AACTAAGTGGCTATTTTTTTTCCTCCCAACCAAGTCCTACATACTTCCAAAGCCTCAACTATGATTCCATGTAGTTACTGGCTTTATTACCTTACCATAACAGTTCTCTGACCTCTGCTGCTCCCTGCCCCCATCCATCTTTTAAGGTACTGTGTAGAAAAGAGGGAAATAGCTGGTCTTATTTAATAGCAGAAAAGACAATTAAAAACAATTTTATTAATGCTGTGAAAGTGTTTACCTTTCAGGCATAGTAGAAATACCAGAGATCCCTAGAGATAATTCAGGCTTATCTGGAACAACTTTCTTACTTTTCACCTTAAAGTAAAATATGAAAATATTGATCACAGGTTAGCCCATTAATTTTGCTCTTCACCTTGGTATCAATGACAAAAGCAGTTTTTTACTGTTTGCCTGAATTCTTATTTTTAGTTTAACTTAGCAACTCAGTGTGGCATCCCTCTGCTCATACTCCCTTGAAAGGAAATTGGTTCCAAGAATATTGCTTGACTCTAATTCTGTTTCAATCATGTATAAGGTAAGATTATGTACTGTGTATAAGCTTGTTAGTGAGGTATTCAGCTATTTTACCTCTTAAAAACCAATTTATTCACTGAAATTTTCAATGAACACACCACAAGCTAGTAAATCAAGGGTTCTAGCAGGTTTTAAAGTAAGTTATTAACTTTGACTACCACCTTGTGGTTCACTCTAGTATTACAGAGCTCTAAATCTGCCAGGCATTAAGGAAAGTTTTCCTAATAACCAGTCATTAAGCTCCAGTTCCACTAGATCGACATTACCAGATGGCCTGGGTAGTTCATATGTGCTCCAAATCAGACACACAACTTGATCATGTGTCTGCCAAATATTCTGATTTCAGTGATACATTGTTTATAATCACAGACCCATAGCCTACAGGTTTGCCTTACCTTGCACTCCTGTAGACACGTGAGCTGCCTTACACCAAGCAACATGGGTTACAAATGCTTGCCACACTAAGTTAAGCAATGCTTGGGAAGTCTAATAGCAACCAGTTATGTGTTGCTGTGCTCCTACCCTTATGTTCACTTTTAATTAGCTAGCTAAAATATCTTTACATGGTCAGATTCACATCGATGACTGCACTCTAGCTATCCCACAATGACAGAATAGCACTCTGGATACTATTCTATAACAAAAATAGGGTGGCATAAAAGTGAAAAAATCAACTCAATCTTGGTGAAAGCTTCCAACTGAAAATTATAAACCAGAAATGCTATTCTGGAGTTTTCACAAATACTAAAATTTTAATGACAGAACATAAAATAATTAACACACA